TGTGAAGATATTGTTTTCCTTGGACAAGTCAGAAATCCACTCTTCGGCTAATTTAATGGAGTAATGGAGGCGGGTGGTGTTGGTGGGGGTGGAGCGTCTACCTGTTATCAGTATCATTTGCACGCCCTGTTGTCACCCTCTTATTTTGTTAAGTGCACCGTGATCTATGGAATAATGTTAGTCTTCGTTTCAGCAGAGCTTTTAGTTGTTTACCTTCATTTTCATCATCTTAATGCACATTCGCAGCAGCACATTTTTAAAGATGTCTAATAACTGAATGATGGACAAAGTTAGGCACGTCAAAGTTTTTTTGGTTTTGTTGCTAACAAATTAGCTCATCCATTCTTGCTGGGCGCCCGGAGCCAAAAGTCTGTGGACACTGAACACTGTCGAAGTTCCAGTACTATACAAACATTCCTGCTGAAGAAAATGGATGGAAGTCGTTCTGTTGACCTAAAAGGTTTTTACAACATAGTTAACAAAGATGACAATACATTCTTGGAAAGGCCCTTTAATCTGCACCAATATTCATTGGGTTCCCAGGCCCCATCTCTCCACCAAGTTTGTTTGAATTGGTGAAAACGTAACCTCCTTTGCAGGGTTAATCATCCGCTCCGATCAGGGAATTGGAGGCTTTTGGACCTGGCTGCAGGGAGTTCCTTCCATTCAGCCACAACAACATGTTTTAGTTGGTGCACTGATGTAACCTGATATCATCTGTGCAGGCTGATCAAGTTCTTTCACACCGAACTGGGAAAAGTATTTTCCCTTATAGAACTGATAACAACTACCTGTAGGTAGCAGCTGTAATTGTGTTTTCTTGGGCAGGATTGATGGAAGTGAAGGAAGGAAGAAGTGGAACTCTTGTTATTTGACTTTCATCGACAATGCAAAACTAAATTTACTAGTTTGCACACGAGAACGGAGTAAATATTGCTTTGTTACTGCACACACACGCTTGTTTTTACTCACACTTATGGCACAACGCACTCGGCAAGACAAACATTGTGTTTGTTGAGAGACAAAAAGGTCTAAATCTCCCCCGTCTGTTTCGTTCTGTCTGTTTTCCAGCTCTCACACTCAATTTACCTTGCATTCAAATCACTTGCAATCATGCATTTTACACAGGGTAGCAATTGTGGCACTAGGTCACGCTCTCACTCCACCTCCATCCTTCCCTTTCCTCTATCTGTTGACTCTCTGTCACGTTGGCACAACAATCCTGCCTCAGCACTACCTTTCCTCTGAGGTGCTGCGGTGACCTATATCACTCTGAGCCAGTAAACATGAGAGAAGGGGAAAAACCGCCGGGGGTCAAAGGGTGGGATTTTAAAATGACTAATCCCCCAAGTGTATGCTGATGTGTGTTTTGCTCGACTTTAACCCCTCCTCCCCTCTTCTCCCCTGGAGATTTAGTTGCTCTTGGCAGCTTGGAAAAGCAAACAGGGTGTATGTTATCACCGCCAGCATGCCTAACTTCAACTTCCTGGTTTCTTATTGACTGTCAGGACCGTCCGTCCCTGCCTCAGTCCCCAGGAATCAGAGCCTGTTCATAATTTCCACTGCGGCATGTTCGCTGTTTTACATGCTGTTATTTCTGAGCTGGTGCACAGAGGAGACTGTGAAAGTTTCATTGGCAGTTTCCTGTCAGCGATGCCGTCCCATGATGTCAGGTTACTGGACAATTGTTTGTCTGATAAAGTGTGAAAACCTGACGGGCGCAGAGAGACGCGGGCGCAGACCACTGGAAAAGATGAAAAGGTTGAGGTCGCGAGCTGTGCTGCGGCTCGAGGGAGCCGTCACCTGGCAACCAGGGGCTCACATTTCTAAGTTTGTGTGTGTATGTGTGTGTGTTTACCTGTTGTTTGTGTGTGTGTGCTTTTGTGCATGCACTCGTGTGTGGTCATTTCAGGCATCGTTTGAGGACAATGTTCTTTTTCGGCACAACAAAGCATCAGCCCTCCAACAGTTACCAACGCTCAGACATGAGATCACATGTGAAATCAGCATCACCTGCAGGCGAACTCTCACACACGCTCTTGTTTCCGCAGGGCGGGTGTCTCTGGTACGTGTCACTGCCATGAGGCTGGAGGGCCTGCGACTGGATGATCAGGGTTCGTACGAGTGTCGAATCCTCTTACTGGATAAACCCACAGATGAGCTGCGAAACGGCACCTGGACTCTGCTCTCTGTGACCGGTGAGGGTTATGGATTTATTTTGTTTTTGAAGTGGATTATATTTGACTGAATACGACTTATTCAGACATTAAATAACATTTAATCCAGATCTTGGCCCTCGTTCAGTTTGTCAATCAGAACGCAATCAGGAAGGATTACTTTTACTTTTCAGTGCATATTCCACAATATATGAGTACTGTCTTGTCAGATGTGTATTTTTATTCACTTATTATAGCCTCATTTAAATTGTTATTTAGTCAACTTTAATAAAGCAAAGCACTTACATGGCCGCTTCAATATTATATTGAATAAAAAGAAAATGGGCTCATTTTCCATTGAGTGAAACTTTTCCCTTAAATAAACTTGTAATTCATAGGGTCAAAAAATATTACCAGGCAAGCCCCTAAAGACAAAGAGAAATTTTAATTCTCTCTTTTTGTGTGAGGAAATAAAACTGATAACGATACTGCGGCAATTGTGAATAATTTATCATTTTTAAAAAAAGGATAAGCTTTTAAAAAAATTTTTTTTTATCCATACACTATGGAAATGGCGTCTAATCTTCGAGCCTCTGGGTGAGTGTTTCCCATGGCAGCCGCTAACTGACATTTAAGAGCTAGCGTTTGCTAGATGCCCTGTAGCCCATGAACATGAATACGATGCATGTGTTCTTTAAGCAGCTCACACAGCTTTGTCTCAGCATTAGGGAGAAACCAATGTCTGGTCAAATAAGTTTATATTCCGTGTAAAGCTGGAAAACTCGGGTATTCAGCTTCCACGTGGGAAAGTAAAAGTACAGATTTTCACTTTCCGGTAGATTCAACGTAGGCGTTGCATCAATCGATGACGTTCAATGATGTCCTGACTGTTTTTGATAGTTATATCCCCAAATGAGTTTCTAGCGAGGTACCACTCTGTTCTTCAAGACATCACTTTGTAGATCCTGAAGTTCTACACATGTGAAAGACAAACCAAAATGTCCCAGACATTTTCCAGAGTTCATGCATGAAGACAGCTCTTGGAATCTCGATACACATGGACTTTCTGTTTTCTGTTTTCAGCTTCATCAAACATCTTCATCTGACTGAATGTGCACTTACCTTCCACTCGCCTTGTCTGTATTTATTGTGTAAAGCACGGCCTGAGCTAGCCTTGACAGTGACTACAGTATTTCAACTCTATTGTGAAATGAAACTTTTTGAGAAGAACTTTTTTCAAAGCTTTTTTAAAGACACCACTGTCAAAAACGCTCAGCGGATCGGAGAGTTCGGATAAGTTTTGACTTTCATGTTTTTGAAAGAACAATCCCTGACTCTTAAGTTCATCATCGCACTTATTGACAGGTTTAAATGATGCATCTTCTAAATATTTAATCGATATATATATAAAATATGCATTATTATTTTTGCTCTTTGAAGTGGATATGCTATATATTTGGTGAAAAGTCACTGCGGTGACTGCACACAAACATGCAGAGCACAGTATCAGAGCACAGAGCAGATCAAAGCTCAGGGAGACAGATTCACAAAGCTGCTCTGTGTGTGCGTCAGGTTAGAGTTGAGAATTATAATAGATTATGACTTTGTACTCCAGGCCTTGGATATAACTTCACCGACATGCCCTGCAGGTACGCTCTTCACATCATATTGTTTGCACCCTGCTTTGACACATGAGATTGTCAGTGGCCTTCACGGGCTCAGCAATGCAGAGCTAAAAGAGCTGTACTTTTAAAAAAACGACCCTCGGTCTGTACGCAACTAAATCTATTAACCATGCAAAAAGCTTTTTTGGTTTTTGGGAACCTGAAGTTTGCAGCTTTTGTTAATTTCACTAGGTCTCTCCTGAAGTGCACAGAGGCTGAAAAATGTCTGTTAACACAAATACCTTTAATTCCGATTAAACAAGGAGCCAATACTCTAAGTCTGACAAAAAGAGAAGTAACAAAATTTCAAACTCTTAATAAAAACTATTTGTTCATTTATTTATACAGAGGTACGTTAAGGATGCATGCCTTGAGAAGTAAAATAATAAAATGTTGACGTGCAAGTTATTTGTTTACATTCGGAGCCTTAAAAGGCTCTAATGAGATCCAAGGTTTCAAGTGGCACCAGAGTGTTAGCGGATCTAAACGGCAGCGTTTGTAACTGACATTTTCACTCTGGGATGTGGAATAATAATGCAAGTTGACAGCAGTAAACTGAGCACAGGCTGCAGATTAACGAACAAGGCCGAGCTGCTGTCAGGCTGTATATGAATGAATAAAAAAAGGACAGAAGAGAGAGAGAGAGAGAGAAAGACAGCAGATTTATTGTCGGCTTGTCCTGCTTTTTTTCTTTTTTGCTGCTTGGAGGACAGTGTGCATCTTTGTTTGTTTCTCTTCTCCTGTGGACAGTTGTAGATTTTATATTCACCCAAATACTGTTAATCTATGTGAGGGACCCCGATTAGTTATTAAAAAAAAAAAAAAAGATCATGTACATTCTATGTAGATGTTCATCTCAATGTTTTCTTTCATAGCCCCACCCACCTTCACTGAAGCCCCGCCCCCTGCAGTGGAGGCTCTGGTCGGAGGTCGTCTCTCTCTTTCCTGTGTTGCCAATGGCAACCCCCCTCCCACCATCACCTGGCTGAAAGACGGCAGCGTTATCGAAAGAATAAATCATCAGGTACGTGTGAGCTAACTCTAGGTTGTGAATGAAACTAGAATTATGATTTTCTTTCCTTCTATTCGTCATATCCACTTGTTGCTTCCTGTAATTGTCAAAAACACACGAAACAGCTTTAAGGCAGCGTTTCACTGAGCAAGGCCGATCAATTCTGTTCTAAAGAAATCTGTGTTTAGTATTTGAACTTTTCTCTGATATTTTTGTGAGATTTTTAATAATTTGAAGCAACAATCTGAAACGTTAAGAGTGGAGTTCACTGAAATGTGACAAGAAAGCCACAAAGACCCTCTGCTTCTCTTCATAATGTGAAGTCACCGGCTCAAACTGTTGGTTTAACCTTTAAAGGTCTTGAAATGTTTTTTTATTTTTTATCAGGGACTTAGTACGAGTGACAGGATCCAACCTGAACTCGTGGAGTACCCGCAGTAAAGATGGAGGCTGGAGATTTGAAGCCATGTTTTTTTCTGTAGAATAGCATCACAAACACAGTTACATACATGTTCACATCTGTCGGTCGATAGTATCTGTAGTGCACATGTGTCTCCATGTACTGTGTCTGTGTACTTTTACCAGGACGGAGCCTTATCTCTTGGAGCAGTGAGCGTGCAGTCAGCGGGTCAGTACACCTGCCACGCCTCCAACTCCGAGGGAAACATGACTCGGGTGACGAATGTGAAGATCAAAGGTCGGTTGTTGCCCGTAGGCTTGAGCGTGTTTGTCTGTCTGTCTTTCTGTCTGTCTGTCTGACTTGTGTCCGTCTGTGTGTATGCCTGCCTGTCCATCTGTCTGCCTGTCTGTCTGTCCGTCCGTGTGTCTGTCAGCTCGTCTGTCGGTCATTTCCCTCAGTCTCTCTGATGTCTGCGTGTTGCCTGACTGGCTGGGAGCCAATGTGATTTACATTCCTGTTTCTCCCTCTTGCATCATATGACGGAGCGATAATGGAAAACTCAAACTGAATTAAACTCTCGCTCTGTCCCTGTGAAGATAACACTGATCTCATGATACGAGACAAGAGATCATGTGGGGGGGGGGTGGGAGTGGTTTCGGGGCGTCACTACATCGCGATGAAGGTTTACGCTCAAATTAAAGGCTGAATAAATGAGACGTGACGGTTTTCTGAGCTCGTTAGCACGCTGTCGTTCATTCATGAAAATTCACATAATTATTATTTTACTTTCCAAGGAATGTTTCTTTTGAATATAAATCCCAAATGTCCCTCGTGGAAAAATATCAAAAACAAGATTAAACATTTCTATGTCTCAGTATCGATGCATCTTGAAATGTTCCCTCAAGGATGAACTCATCGAGAGTCAAAGGTCAAGGTCGCTGTTTTCAGCCTTGTGAACGCAACATCCCAGGAGCTTGAGGGAATTTGGGACAAACGTTCACCTGGAAACCAGATCAACTGATTTGATTTTGGTGAATCAAGGTCAAAGGTCAACGTCACTGTGACCTCGTGAACGTAATCTTGCAGAAACGTCTGTATGTTGCAGTTGTCATTTAGCCTCAAAGATTCACTGATTAGATTTCAGTGGTCAAAGGTCATGGCGACCTCACATGCATCTGGAAAATAAATCATGTAGACAGAAACAGCACTGGTTGGCAGAGGCGTACAGTTGCGAGGCGGTTATTTTAGTTTCTTCTATCCACGGTTCCTAATAGACCCATGACACATTCTCAGAGGTGTGAAGTTGCATATAAATACATGTAGAATGTAGAAACATGCTGCCGCGTGTCACTGGATAACACCGACACACCTCTGCATCATGTATTTCTGACTCCTTCCTTCACTCCTACTCGTACTCCCACTGTTTCCTCCGGAGAACTCCTCGGGAGCGCGGTGCATGGGGGGAATATTTTGGCACCTTCACTTCATTTTTGGAATCTCACCGTCTTGGTGGTCAGATTTTGGAATAAAAGATCAAATGGTGATTAAACACTGCCCTAGTGCGTGTCAGTCTAAGTCACATCATCTGAGCTTTGGCCGTGTGTTTCCACGGTCGTGCCACATGGATGGATTTCTGCAGACTAATAGCTCATCTGGATGGAGTCTAACTGCCTTAAGTAACCCCTCGACCGTCGCTCACGCATAAATATCCATGGAATGTCCCAGATTAAAAACCTGATCAGTAATGACTGCTGCAGAGATCATGTGGTTATTAATACATGACACATGTGGCGTGAGGAGCCTCCTTTATTAGGGTCTTTGCAAAACGTGCACGTGTCTGTGGTCGGCACGGCAGAGGGGCGTGATAAATGTGACATCGCCGCACCGCTCTGCAGTCGCTGCATGTGAGCGATAAGCATGAGGATGACATGTGAGACTTTGACAGCACAGAATCTCAGGAATATGTTTTATTTTAACTACAGGTTTTATTTTTTTTTAATAAAATCTAACTTGCACTGTGGGTTGAATTCAAAATATCACAACTCTGCAATTTCCTGTTGGTTGAAGTGATTTTACCCTGGTGACTAAAATGATTTACTCTGCTTTTCTAATGGTTTGTATAATTCTTTTATCAAACACTTTTTTTTTTACTTAAGTACAACATCTTGTCAACAAACCTGTTTTCAGCATTGCCTTTGTATTTTCCCTGTTTTACTCAAAGAGCTGCAGAATATAAATGTTGTGTATAAGATTTGTTTTTACTGTTCTTTTCATTTTTGTTCATTTTTTATGTGTTTGTTTTCTTCTTATCCTGCCTAATAATTTAAAAATACATTTAACGTAATGTCAAACTAATTACATTTTTGTTTTGTAACTTGCCTCTCTCTCTCTCTAGGTCCACCCGTCATTGTCGTCCCCCCCAAAAGCACCTCTCTCAACATGTCCCAGGATGCACTCCTCTCATGCCAGGCGGTGGCCGACCCCCCCAACATGACCTACGTGTGGCACAAAGGTGGAGAAAACGTCCATCACATAGAGTGAGTGTCACCGCTGCTCTTTGTTCTCGAGCGTTGCCTCATGAACCTTTTGATGTTTGGTGTCGGAACCTGGAGCAGGTTGAGAGAAATGTTACCTTTGTGTGTGTGTGTGTGTGTGTTTTTTATTTACAAAGGAGCACGATAATGGTGGTTACACACCATTCAAACACAAGTTTGCACTTTTTATACGAAACATTCACCGAAAGGGGAAATAAATCAAAAGAACAGAGTTGGGACATTATCAAAGGGGAATCAGTTTGACGATCAATCAGATTAAGTGAATACAAAGATCTTAGCATGATGTAAACGCTCGATCACAACATGTTAAAGGAAGTTTTCCCCATTATCCGGATCCACTCCAAGATTTGTGGGTTTGTGGAAATCAGTCGAGTAGTTTTTACATAATCCTGCTCTCAGTCAAACCAGCAGGAATAGAAACATACCTTCCTTGTTGGAATTAATAAAAATAAAACTATGAGTGAAAAAGACAAAAGAAGAATTACATTTCTGTATTCAAACTTCATTTTTATTGCTCTTAAGTGTTTCCACAAGAAGCTCTACAGTTTATCGCTTCTTCTCCTTTCCATCAGAATACATCAGCGTTAATGTCACAGGAATGGAAATCTTCCTCCGGATTGTTTCCGAGCACAGTTAATCTCACAGATGTCAGTCCATGCAGCATGCCTGAGTTTTTCACTTAAAATTTGAAGGGGTTACGTTACTTGTGTGAATGTGACCCAATTCCCCAGAGTCCCTCTGGAGGTCACGTCTGAAACCTGCTCATGAAAACCCGCCTCAGTCGACCAAAGACATTCTAGAAGTGACATTTCTTAAAAGCCTCTCTGACACATGTTCACGTGCCGGTGCCCTGAACGATTTGATGACAAATGGAGAATTTTCCACTGCGGCTGAAGTGGAGTGACTGGAGCGACCTCGGGAAACTGGAGCGCTGCCCGCTTTGCTTCAGGTCTCAGCACATGCTGTTAAACTGCTCTGAATAAAACTTCTCAAACTTCCGCTGACTGACGGGCTAATGTGGAGCGTCTGTTCCGCTTCTGGTTGGAAGGCCACACGAGAAGCACAAAAGCCACACAATTTAAAGTCATTTGAGTCAAACCCATGAATTTTAAATGTTATAAAGTTCCTCAATAATTCATCAAGCTCTGAAAAACCCCAAAAAGTCCCTCTGTTCCTCAGACTGTCGCTCAATTGTCTTTTAATGTCGGATGTCACTCCTCCATGCATGTTCTCAGCTGTGAGTTTGCCAATTCATTTTTACTTTGCTCTAAAATAGCAACACTTAGCTGGCGACTGTAGATAACGCAACAGTGACGCAGACGCTCCCCTGGGAGATTCTCACCACTCGGTGTTTTTGTTATTCACGAGCGCGGAGTGGTGTGCTGCCCCCACGGAGAGTGTCTAAGGTGATTCCCGCTGTGGTTGCCAACGTTTGCAGGTGTAAGTAACATAGTTAAAGCGACACAACCATAATAATCAAAATGTACAACTAGAATAGCACCTCGGTTTTATTTATGGTCCCCATAAATAATAATAAATGAAAAATAAATAAATACAATCAAGCTGCACCAAATTATACACCAGTCTTAGTCCCCTAAATCATTTTTCACCTAGAACCAAACAACCTGTTACTCCCCCGCCGGCAGTCAGACCTCCTAGTTTCACCTTTAGTGGTGCACGTACTCTCACCTGTTTGTGAGCGTGCACCCCTGCTGCTGCCATAGAATGAATGAGAAACGCTGCAGAGAAAAATGTTTTGTTTTCTTTCTGACCCATATTCTACATCCTTCTACTATTTCCTGGTAATCCAGTAATTTTTGTGTAATCCTGCTAATTTACAGATAAATATATTTATATTTTCATGCCTGTCTGATCTTGATGAATTAAATGATGACTGGTATTAATGAGTGTGTGCAATTTGGTTCAGATCCAAATAAAAATCTGTATTTAGTGGATTTAAACGGGTTTCAGGGGGTGTACAGGCTTTTGTCGGCTGTTGTACGGTAACAATACGAAACCTGTAACTTCTCCCAGTGTGTAGCTGAGATAATGTGGATCCAGTTGAGGAATCAACAGTTTCTGTGTATCCTCGCTAATCTGTATTCAAATGAATGTGACATCAAGCTTTTTAAACGGAGGTATACGCTCCACTGAGTGCCATTCTAGTGGATTTATGATATAAACATTTCATTTCTTTTTGGCTGCACACGATATTCTAAACGGCCAGCGCTGGTGTGATGTTAGAGAATTCTAGTGCCAGAGGTGTCCGGAGCTTCCGCCCACAGTCCAGAGTCACGCGGGTCAGGTTTATTGTCGACTCTAAATTGCCCGTAGGTGTGAATGTGAGCGTGACTGGTTGTTTGTCTCGATGTGTCGGCCCTGTGATAGTCTGGCAACCTGCCCGGGGTGTATAACTCCGCCTCTCGCCCAATGTCAGCTGGGATTGGCTCCAGCACCCCTGCGACCCTCCCGAGGATAAGTGGTATAGCTAATGGATAATGGAAGTAATCAGGCCTGCGAGTGATGAGAGGAAGCTTTATTTCTCCAGGAGAGTGAGAGCTGTGCATCAGCAATATTCCTGAAATGATAAAAGGTGCATTTCCTGATGGGAAATTCAATCAGCATCAATGAGAACAGACAAACGCAGATGAAAACCTTTGTGGCAGAGGTAGAAATACATATTGCTACGACCAACACTACCAGAAATAAAGTACAAAAATATCATAGATCTATTCTCACATTGGCCAACACATTAAATCCAGTTACATCTCGGAGTAACAGCACCAGAGTAACACCTTGTTTTCTCCTGACCTCCAGTGGAAGTACTCACCTCGTTGCTGTAGCGATGTGGAAGAGAACTCATTCTACTAATTATGCTTCCTCTCTTCCTCCCTCCTCCGTTCGCCCCCCGGTTCATGACCCTGAAATTGATCGTGGTCCGTCACCGTCAGGGGTGTTCCAATCCCTTAAATGTGTCTCAGAGGAGATGAGGGGAAGAGGGGCCTCTCAGAGGAGCAGCTGTGTCCTGCAGGGCAGCATCACTTCAGTCAGAACCTGGCAATTGATCGGTCTGATGATCGGTTAAACGAGCTGTTGTGGAAACAGTTTTACTTTAATAATAATCTGATGAAGGATTTCCATCGGCTCTGTTTAACCCATTGTGTCCATATCTGTATGCTTTAAGACGACGTTCGCAAATACTGATGAAATGAACGTCACCTGGGACGGGGTCAGTTGAGCAGGTGGAGCTTTTAATTTGCTTTACTTCTCTCACACAGATGATTATTCATGACGCTGACACCCACAGTCACACAATTATAGTTCCTTGATCAATTCATTGACTGCTAATGAATTGCTAATTGATTTTTATCTTGTTTAATCATGTTCCAATCACAACGACCAAAACGTTCTCCTTCCTTTCGACCCATTTTTTTTTCGTATGAGTGTTAATTAGACGTATTTGGCTTTTAGACAGTTGGTTAACCTGTATTTGTTTTGTCTGCTGTGCTGAGCAGGTAGTGAACAGGGGCTTTATTAGTACTTAGTTTCCTGAGCTGCTGCTGCTGCAGATGGAAACAGGGTTTTTGATGAGAGCGCTCTGACTGAAACAGTAAATGTGCCATAAAACCGCATGAGTGAGCTCAAACAGGCTCTGTAGAGTTGCAGAGTCGCTGATAATTCTTCATGAGTTTGTCTCTGTGAGCGAGCCCCCTCACATTACTCACCGTGCTCATCACTAACACAGAAAATATTGGTAAATGGAGCTTAGCGTTCTGTCACACAGGTTCCCGCTGGTGCGGCTGCGAGGGGAAGAGATGACGTGATGGGAAATAATCCAGGTTGTTTACTGTCTGACCCACATGGTAATCAGCCCAAATGTTTGACGGGTATAAGCAGCGAGCGAAATGCTCCGGTTCTCTCGATGCTTCTCTGTAAATGTAAGAATGTATAAAATGAGTGGGCCCTTGTCTTCCCACTCCAACTGAATTGAAATGAAATTTCCTATGCTCCATCTGCACTCTGGTGAATAACTCGCAGTAGGAAAAAAAAAGAAAAGAATCACTCCTCCACTGTTGATTCTCTGAGAACCTGTTTGACTCCGCTCTGATGGAAGAGCTGAATTACCTCTCGCTGATATTCTGGAGGAGCTGGTTTCTTCTTTTTTTCGCGCGCTCAAGAATTCCCTTGTGTTTTTCCGGCAGGTCTTTGAAAACGCGAGTGAAGATCATGGTGGATGGAACCCTGCTCATCTCCAGGCTCGTCCCCGAGGATTCTGGGAACTACACCTGCATGCCGAGCAACGGCCTGCTGACCCCGCCCACTGCCTCCGCCAACCTCACAGTGATGCGTAGGTTCCTGTCTGCAGGGTTTAGTTAATGTCGTGTGCGTGTGAAGCCTCAAGAGACGTCAAATATCTGTGCTTTCTCTCTTATCTCCTAAGAATTTCAACACACAGTTAATAAAGCGTCTTTTAATTAAAGATTAATTCAATAATTTTGAATAAATGTTGAATAATAAACAGGTGATTATTGATAAACATATACATTAACAATTCTTAATACATATTAACCATAAAAAGTTTCATTTGTATTTGTAACAGTCAGAAAATGCTTTGATTCGTATTTAAAACTAAACTTCTCGTTGCTACAACATAAAAAAAACTTCACGTGTGTTTTACCTCTGAATATAATGACAAATACAGATTTGAACAATTTTTCTCTTAACATGCTGGTTTCATATGAAGTCACAGATTAAACTGTTTTAAAAAATGTATTTTAAATGTCCATACAAATATAACTGAAGCATTTTGATTGATTTTGAAAACATGACTTTATCATTCAAGTTCAGCAGAGGTTAGTGCTTTGTGCTCACAGAATTAACTGAAGAATTATATATGATAAACAAGCATTTTTTGAGTTGAACTAATCATGAATTAAATATAGGCCTGTTTACTTGTTTAAAGATGAAACCATCCTTAAAAAAAAAAAATTGGTATTTATTGTAAAAATCTGTAAATGTTGGCAATGTAGACGTTTCATCTTATTTTATTTTTTTTCCTTGTGTGTAAACCTGTAAAACCCTTGAGACACTTTCAGTCGGCTGCGGTAAATAAAAGGAGCAAAACACGAGCACGCAGGGAAGAAACCTGCTCTTAAAATGAATTTAGACGTTATGGATCAGAAGCAGTGGTGCAGGTTTGCAGTATTTATTTCAAAGTAAGTGATTTTCCTCCTTTCCTCCACCCAGACCCGGCCCGGGCTCTTCCGATGCCTGAGGAAACGTACCTTCCCACAGGTATGGATGGCGTGGTCACCTGCCCGGCGGCCGCTCAGCCTCCGCTGCTCCGTGTGGATTGGACGAAGGATGGAGAACCTCTCGATCTTTCCCTGGTAACAAAACGAATTATCTCCACGTGGATGCACGGTCACAATAACACGCAAACTCATATTCATGTCGTACCGCTCCTGTAGTCAGCAAACATCACAGGGAAGCCACGGCCTACATTCGTTTTCTTTGAGCGCCACCTTCGCTGAGTGTAGAGTCACCGCCATTAGCAGCTCATGCGAATGGTTTCCTACTCAACTGTGGAACAACTGAGCAGCAGTTTTAACACAGTGTGAACATTCACGTCGAGATGCTTCTTCCTGAGCCTTTTTTCGCTGGACATTTCCTGTGAAATATCTTTTGAGGTTTTCAGTATCAAAGTCATTTAATCAAGTATATCTTAATGGACGGGGAAGATGTGTTCAACCTTAAAAGCTTTTGAAGCAATCCCAGAGGAATCCTTACTGCCCACTTTCATCCTCGTTTTTTTTATTTTATCTTTCACTTCAATCAACTGCTCCCCTCATTTGAGGAATGGGTGGAGGAGCCATTAAGGACGAGGAGCAGGGACGGTCACATCCAGACATTGTTTTAACTAACGTCCTTTCCGTGATTTCACATCCGAAATTAATATGCACTTCTTTTTTTTTTAATTCCAAAGTAAGAGTCCAGGCTGGCAGCTTTTAAAAACCATTTCCTTTGTTTTTAGTTCCAAGCCACATTCCACCCGCCTCCTCCTCCTTCACATACTGCGCTGCCCCCCCCCCCTCGACACTTTGGTCTGAGCGATGGACATGATGGTGGATGAGATGCACCGCAGGAAATGTGATAGATTCCTGTAGAGTGGGACACGGGTGTTGGAGTCAGACTGTTATTCTGCCAATTATTTCAATTTCACCCTGAATGTCACGAACGCTCATACCCACAGTCATGCTTTTCTCACAGCCTCATTCCGGGGGAAGGATAATAGCAGTTTTAACTTCATTAAACTGAGTAGATTATTATTTTTTTTTTTTGCTCAATCAGAGCACAAGCACTTACACTGCAGCTTGATGGAGAAAAAATGACTCAGAAATTCACCTGCTTTTATTGCTTCAAATTTTCTAATCAAGAGAACAGAACAGATGATGTATTCTGGATACCATGTTGAAAAAAGGCTGTGACGGCATGAACGAATAATTCATATTTTTTAAAAGAAGTTTGGAAATAATCTGCCCAGTGGGGAATCGAGTACTTAACCACTGCAGGACTGAGGCAGGCAGATATCAGAAACATTATTTCTGTAAATCCTTTAAACACAGCTGTGGCTTCGGAGTTGTTACAGCCTCCCTTGCCTTTTAGCTCTTTAAGCTTTCTGCATACTTCTAACTTTTAAAGCTATGCATCATTCAACAGACTATAGCTCCTTCCATCTCAAACAGTTTATGGGCATTGTGCTTTTCTTCCAGTATCCAGGTTGGACCTTGACGCCGCAGGGCTCCTTGTTCATGGCCACGGTCAACGACGACGCGGCCGGCGTGTACACGTGCACGCCGACCAACAGCTACGGCAGCATGGGTTCATCGGGGCCCACCAATGTGATTCTGCAGGTCAGTGAGCACTCTGGGTCGCCTGGGTCAGTCAGTATAGCGATGCTGCACATTCCATAACGTCATTTGAAATACATATCGTGAGGCAGCCTACATTTCCTGAGTCGTAAGCACCGGCTGTTGTTCGGTCATAGCGTGGAAGCTCAGAACCCTCCGCTGAATCTGTCTTTCTAGTTCTGCCAAACAGTCCGTCTACTCACCGCTGTGTTTTTAATTAACCACAACGGCATCTGTCACAGCGAATTAAAAAACTTCACAAAAACGACATTTTGTTGACCTTTTCGCTCCGACGTGTGAAACCCCCCCGGCGTTAATGGAAGTCAACTTCTACTCACGACAATGGCAGCACTATTTGGGAGTTAATTGTGCAGCTAATCCTCTTGTTATTAAGATAATCTTGGCCAAAGCGGCTGTAATCCAGTCTTAAAAATCCATTGTTGGCATTGCCGCAATCTCCTTGATTAAGCTAAATTGTTTTTTTTGGACCATCCATAGGACCCTCCGTCATTCAGCGTCGCTCCAGAGAAGCAGTACAGACAGGAGGCCGGTCGGACCCTGCTCGTCCCCTGTCAAGGAAATGAGGACCCAACAACTAAAGTCACCTGGAGCAAGGTAAATAGCCATAGTGGCCTCAGTCTAAAAGATGGATAGAATCGTCCGGACTCAGGACGGATGCAGGTCCTTTTTAATAGGTCGTAAAATGTCTTAATTTTTAGAATGAAAGGCCTAAAGTACTAAATTGTCTTAAATTCTGTCTCAAATTGGTTTTATTTTTGTGGCAAATGTTTTGACTCTGTCATACTCAAGATGAAGAATTATTTGTGTGTTTCTGATTTAGTTAGTTTAGGACTTTTTAACTTTGCAGAACCTTTTCATGCACAAAACCTCGACACAGAGGAAAGAAACGCTGAAAAAGCTTTGCCTCCTTTAGTAGTTATACGAGTAAAGTGCTAAATGACATAAATATTTAACCATAAAACTAATATATATATAGGAGACTGCACAGTTTTGCCAAAAGGGCTAACATCGCCAGTGGCTGACTGACAGTTCAGCAGCAGAGCCAGTCACTATAATTCCACCATTGCTGGGAGGCATTGAAGAGGCTTGATGGCCTGAGGGACAAAAGACTTCCTCAGTCTGTGGAGACAGCGACTGGCTGAACGCCTCTGCCATGTGAAGGTGCTCTGCAGAGGGCAGGGAGACTTGTCCATGATGGGCAGATGCACTTTAGCCTGCAGGAGGAGACGCCTTTAGAAATGTGCACATTCCAAAACACAGGGTCTAGAGTGGACGTGACACTGAGACATGATTATTCCCACTGCCTCGATCCACCCTCCAAGACAAGTGGAATAAAAAAAAAAAACATTTTCCAAGTTTCAGTCTCGTGATGGCTGCACTTAGCTGGTGGATGGTAGTAGGCAGTCTCACGCAGGGGTTGTGTGTCATTTGTAAAAAAAAGAAAGAAGCTATGTTTATATTTCCGAAGCAGCGTCGTCCAATTTTAATTTATTCATGTATTCATCACAATAAGCGACTCTGGAGTGCTTCCATCACATCTGAAGAATTTAATCAAATCCCTCCCATCATTATGCACCTCCCCCGTGGTCTGTTTCAATCAGAAATACATTATATTACTGAAGTGATGGTAAGACTTTCACTGGGACTCCAGAGAACAAGCTCACACCCGACGGAAAATCTTCTGTGTGTGTGCCGCTGTGAATGACCATAGACAAGCCTGTGTAACACTATGACGACACTCAGACAACAGTCAGAAAACGCTCGGACTACACTGTGACAACACTGTCGCAATACCATGACAACGCCCAGTCAACACACTGACAACAGTGAATTATATGCAAACCAATATTCTGAATATACACATCTACATAATGTGACTGAAGTCACAATACTGTGCATCAGAAAGTGCTGTTGCTATGGTTAAAGACTGTTGTTTCTCTGGTTAATGTCAGAATCAGAATATATATACTGTGTGTATATATATATATATATATAGATATAGATATTGCTGCTGGGTTGGTTCAGAAGTGCATCACTCTTGAAACCTTCAATCAGAGAAACTCTGATTTTCAGCCTGGGTGTATTTTACTCTTCAGTGGGAAACACTGCCTGGGTTGCCTGTTTGGCTTGAATGTGTTCGAAACATCTTGGTTTTCATTTGGGCGTCCATGTTAACACGCCAGAGCGGCCGCATGTGGATCTCTCGCCTCACTGCTCATCTCGGGTTTCGGCATCTCGCCTATTTTTCACATGTGAATGGACGTGTTGACAGACATATTGAATTGGTATCTACAGTGATACATAAAACTGACAACTTTCACAATAGACTGTGTCTATGATGAAGCTCTCTCTCGCTCTCTGTGCTATTTCTCTAAATGACAGTAAACAAAAACCACGTTACTGCTTTCTGGTTACAACTCCTCACTCCTCATTGACGATGGATAATTGTTATTATTGACGGCCATTATCGTAGATGAACTGAGTGTGTAATGATAGAGCTGACACGCTGGCAGACAAACACGCACAACCACACGTTTGCGAGCTGCAACAATAGAGTGAGGCAGCCGTCACGCACATACACTGGTTGATCTCTTGGGTGGTATTTATTGGTAGTTGGAGCTATTCTCAGTTAAATTATGAGTCGTGCACAGTTAGAAGAACTTTCTCAGTTATATTGTGATTTGAAAAATTATTTTCACTTTGCACACACTGTATTTTGACAGTTTTCTCCCACCTGAGGATGGTCTGTTTGTGTTTTTCTTAGGTCGACCTGACTCGCAGCATCGCTTATGCTATAGAGCCCAACGGTTCGCTCCTGCTGCAGCCTCTCACCAAGGACCACCAGGGGGCGTGGGAGTGCAGTGTCACTAACCGCGTCGCCTCGGTGAAGGCCAGCACACAAGTCTTTGTCCTAGGTGAGTGCAAACAGGAGGATTCCCATCTGCCAGAATAATAAATACGAAAGTCAGTCTGCTATTACGTGAGCCAACAATTTAAAAAAAAAAAAGTTTTATCATGTTGCTTTCTATGAACCCTCCTATTATACCCTGCACAGGACGGATGCCTGTGCCTCCACTCCGCCTCCGACGGATAAATGTGGCACATCTAGAGATGGCCTCTAAACTCTAGTGGTATCAGGTAGTTGAAGTGCTGGCTGATTTCCATCAACTCCTCTCCATTTGCTCCATTACAGGCACCAGTCCCCATCCGGCTGCCTCTCTGTCCGTCTCTCCAGGGGTGAAGCAGGCCAACGTATCCTGGGAGGCAGGCTTTGATGGAGGATCAGCACAGACATTCTCAGTTTGGTGGGTGTGAAGCCTCCTACTTTCTTCTCGTGCTGTAACCATGGCAGCCATCGACAACGCTGGTATTGCAACTATTGATCTCCGGGATGAGGAATTCATTTATCTGTTATCGCTTCTTGGCAGCTACAATAAAAAAAATAAATAAATAAAAGACACACTGCTGCAGAGCATAGCTTTGTTATGCAGTGGCCATGCTAGCTGCAGTAAGAGTTAACTGACTGAACCGAACACAAGGCTGGTGTTTCTTGTAAATCAAGGCTTTTATATTGGCTTAGAAAGCAAGAACACAGTGTCTTAGATGTGCATGTGCTAAATTTAAAGAGAACGATGGATACAAAGAAAGTAAAGCCGCAGCCAATTGGATAGAAACCAACCAGAACCATATTGCACGGACTGATTTTCTCCTTTTAAAACAAAAAAAACATCCCTGTATCACACTTATAAAGCATGGACACAATGCATTCAAAAACAGGTGGCTTTAGTTAAATGTGTTAAAAGTTTAACTAATCTAATAAAAAACATAAGTAGATTGTTGTGTTTTTCTTTGAAATCAGAGAAAGCAAGTGAAGGTATCCAGAAAAGTTCTCCTAATGCTCATCTTAATCACACTGTAACCTGGGAGCGTACATCAGATGAATATGAGATGAGCTATCTTAATCCCCAAGAGGGAAGTGGGTCATCGCCGCAGCATCAAGCAGCATAGAAATAAAAAGAAATTACATTGAAAGAGTAAAAATAGATCAACCAATCAGTGTCAACAAGCTTCTAAAGTGTCTGACAGCCACAGATTATGAGGTAGATACACAATCAACACTTTTGTTTCTTTGCCGTATAGAGTGAGAACTTTGACAGGGCGGAGAGGGAATGTTTTCCCATTGGCAAGTCAACTGCAGCTGTCTCAGAGTTTCTAATGAAGGATAATAATGATGGCAGACAGGTTTTTACAGTTGTGAAAGCTCAAAGGACAAATAGTCTCATGGCATACTTGAACTAGAAGGGAAACAACTAGAGCGCAAGGCCCTACAGTCTCCTTATGAAACCACATTAAAGTTCAAAATAAAAATCCTGGATCTGCCTCATGAGCCGGATCTCTACCAAATATAATGGGTTTCTGCTGAGTTTCATGTTAATCTGTCTGGTAGCTTGTGTGCAATCCTGCCAACCATCAGTCAGATAAATTGAATGCAGACACAGATGAAAATATTAAGTCCTTGACGGAATGAATTATTATATTAGAATCATTTAAATTACACCTGTTCAAGAAAAATACCTCACAACAATGTCAGCGTGAGTAATATATTTTATTCCTTTCTATTTGATCATAAAAGAATACATCACTTCTGAACAGCCGTATTCTTTGAAAACCAAGAAAAGCATTCTTTGACATTAATTGATGAAGAAATGTTCTGTATAAATTGATGTGCAGAATGTCAGCTATGGTGAAAACCTAAACATGTGAGATACATACATTCATCTATATATATGAGAGTGCAGGCTGTCTCTGCAGTAGCAGGGATATGTCAGAGCTGTCTTTGCCACAAAATCTGGAGTTGATGATGAGCATGAATGATTAATGAAACCTACTTTTCTGTCATGTTTCATAAAACCAGACTCCCAGAATTCCCCGCCGCTTTTTTGTTCTCACTACTTATCTCTCGGTCTTTCCCGCTTTCTGCAGGGTTAAGAAGATTTCAGCAAACAGCGATGATGATGATGATGATCATGGGAAGCAGGCGTGGTTCTCCATGGCCGTGCCCCCGTCCTCCGGCGCCAGGCTGCAGGTGACTGGACTGTCTCCCGCCACTGATTACCAGTTCAGCATCCTGTCACACAATAAAATTGGCACGGGGCCCTTCAGCGAGATCGCGACCACGCGGACTTTAGGTTGGTGACATCCCCAATTTCATCTAAAAAGTATTTTACCAAATACTGTGCTTCTCCTCAGGCTTTTTTGTTAGTAATGAACAAAGTACGAAACATTCAGCTCGCAGGCTTTTCATATTTTAGTCGTCTCTCTTTTCAGCTCAATGACAGATGTTGCCAGAAGCAGATTATATGAGCTGTGGTTAATGAAATTTATTTCCATGAGTAACTTGCCTAAAGGCCAAAATTAAACTTGGCTGTTTATTAAATATGCAAGCTAAAAGCCACGGTTTGTACCCAACCGCAAATGAAGGAACCGCTCTTTAACACTTCTCTCCGATCGCAGCTGCCTCAAGAACCAAACTTAACTTTACCCTACTTCTTCTCTCGGCCACGTGCAACTCCTCGAACACGAACCTCCGGCTGCACGGACGTCCATGTTTGTCTGTCAGTCAAAATGAATTCTCGAATAAATTTACAAAGAAGTTGGGTGCAGACGTTTGTGTCCCCTCTCAGGGAGAATAGACATAACTTTGATCCATCAAGCGGCATCTGCTAAAGGTCAGGGTGTTAGCATTGTCAGAGCATGTTAGCATTTGCCTCTAACCACCTCTGTGCCTAAGTGCAGCCTCACAAAGCTGCGAGCAAGGCTGTTGACTCCATTTACGCTCAGCATTAAAGTCCATTTCCTTTCCAGGTCTTATCTAGATCTGATTTTGACCTGATTACATCCTGGTGTTAATACATGATCGGCCTGTGCAACAAAATTTTTTATCTTCCTTTTGTTTGCACGGGTCTAAAAACGTAGAGTATCACGTCAATTCTAGTCGATGAAATCTCCCAAATAAAATTCTTTAAGCTCAAAGTAGTTTGTGATTAAAATGTTGCAGCAGGAAGCTCATGAAATACAGTCAAAGTTACGTCACAACGTGTCGGCCTTAGTTCGAACAGAACAAACTGAACAGTGAACTGATAATTACAGGTTTGTTGGACTCGAACATCGACCCCAGTCCTTCCCCCTCACAGCCTCAAGATTGAACATCTGGAACAGTAGCAATTTCCAACGCTGTGGTTAAATCTTTCCGCCAGACCGGATGCGGCTGATCAGCTGATCACGTCTTTTCTCACCCCCCCCATGTGACAGATCCTCTGCCAAGGAGAAGTAAACTAAAGCCTCCCGCGTCGCTGTCAGCTGATCAGGGCTCAGCAGGTGTCGTTCTGCAATGGTCCCTTCCTGAAGAGCAGCACCCCCCCATCACAGGCTTTGTTCTCCAGTCCCGTGCCCAGCAAGGCGACTGGTTTAATCTGGTCGAGGACATCGGTGCCAACAGTAGCGAGATAGTAGTTCCGGGTCTGCACAAGGTAACAAGCCCCTCTGCTCTGCTCCCTCGGAGACTAATCAGTCCACGGTGCTCGTTGAATGCCTTAGAGATTTTTATCTGGGATATACCTCCGTGTAGACTCTCAGTCTCATGCACTCGACGTGGCAGTTATCACTTTTCTGTTGTCTTTCAATCTGCGTGTGCTGCCGTTTCTGCTTTCCACCCCTTTCATCCTCCTTTTTCTCTCCTATATAGGCCTACTTGAATTCAAATGAACTTCATTAGCATTGCAGGCACAGTCCCGTGTTGACAAAGTGTGGTTTCATCCTCTGTCCTCCCCACTCTCTCTCTCTCTGTGTGTGTGTGTGTGTGTGTGTGTGTGTGTGTGTGTGTGTGTTTGCTGGCCTCAGGATTGTGTGTACGAGCTGCGGCTGCTATCTCGTCGCGGGGAGTTGCTGAGCGAGCCCAGTCCATCAGTCAATGTCTCCACCATGGGTAGGTGTTCCAGAGCAACCTTGCCCCCTTTCGTATTCCCGCCCCACTCTCTGTTTCAACCCGTCCCCTCCTCTCTCATCCTCCTTCTTTTAACTCTTTTTCTCTCTTTCTTTATTTCTCCTCATCCCACTGTTCCCAGTGTTGGATCAAAATTAGAGCAGGGCCCCAGGGAACGCCGTCCATCAGGAGGCTGGATGATAGAAATAGCTCCACTAATAACTTTTCAAAAGCGTTAGTGATGGAATTGATACTCGTCCTTTCTGATTCTATAGAGAATGTGACTCGAGTGTGAATCAGATGTGGTACAAAGTCGTCAAACAGAGAAAGTGGCATGAAATATGCATGTAATGAAGGTCAGGCGGTAAATGATCAGATAATTGTACAACTTGATGAACAAAGCTTTGTTTCTCTCTGATGAAAAATTATGCTAAAATAAATCTATATAATATTTATTGAGAAGAAAAAAAGGGATGAATAAAATAAGTGTTTTTCTAGCTTCATTTTGTTGTTTTCTAATTTTTCTTGTTATTGCTCTTAAGTGTGTGAAAAGAAACTTTTCCTTTCACTAAATTATTTCTGGTTTTTTATGGTCATAGCTGACTCTACACTTAGCTCACTGCTTATTTTCCTTTCCACTGAATTACATCACTGATGAAATGATGTCACAGCGATGGAGATCTACCCCGGCACATCCCGACTCCTGGAGTTCGTCCCGGAGCCATTACTGGCTGGCGTGTTGGGCGGGGTCGGCTTCATGTGCTTGGCACTGGTCTTGCTGCTGGGGTCCGCCTGTGTCATCAGCCACAGGAGAAACCAGCGCCGCAGAAAGAAGAAGAAGAGAGATGGTAAAGTGCCCCTCGCTCCTGAGACTTAGCAGACACTCACTTTGATGAACTGCATCATGAATATCATCATTTATTCAATAAAATATTGAAGGCACTTTCAATCCATTATATAAATCATACCCCTCTGCATGGATTTGGCGCTCCTCTTGTCTCCTGCTCGTCCATTCCGTTGTAAAAGTTATTGATGTCATTTACATTACTTGCTAATTAGGGTAATTCCTCATTAGTGGCTGATAAATGTAAGTGTAATTAACTTTTTGGACAAGCCCGGGTGCCTCAGGCCCTTTAATGGGCTCTTATTGGGGTTGATTATGTTTTTACTTCTTGGTCAGTGTGGTTGTATCCTAATGAGTCAGATACCATCTTGCCACTCTCCCTCCCTTTCAGAGCCCCCTCCAGCCATCTATAAATGCTCCCCATCGATGTAAGTACCCTTTCATCATTTCATGATAAAACCTCCCATTGACCTTTCCCTCTGCTTTCCACACAAGACTAAAAAAATGCGGAAAATGCCAGCGACTCGCTCGTTTCCTCTTTCACATCTTTTTCTTTCTCATTTCCATGTATTGCTTTTGCTGCTGCTGTTTCGATCTCGCTCAGTTGACACGTCTCCGGCCCCCTCCTTCACTCTCACTCAAATCTTATTTTCTCTGCTTCTGTTTCTCTTCCTCTTACACCTCCAATTTTTCTTTACAATTCTCCTCTGTCACCCCCTCCCTCCCCCTCTTTCTTTCTCTCACAGAAAGACTCCAGGCACCGGTAGTCCAGACAGTGTGTTGAAGAAAAGCCTTCTTCCAGCCAGCAGCCTCTATCCCACTACTTCCTCTACCCCCTCCTCCTCCTCCTCGCAGACAGACTGTCTCTCCTCCGGCGCTGAGAATCCTAATCGGCGGAAGCATCTCCCTTCGTACCCCGGCAGGGGTCGACTCACCAGGACAACTTCCTCCCCAATTTCTCCTTCGATTGAGTTGATCTCTAGGGGTCCAGATGGACGCTTCACACTTCCACTTTATGACCCTGACACATTAAGTGTTCACAGCAGGAAAAGTTTAAGGTATCACCAGGGTACCAGAGTCCGAAGGTCTGTGTCACTCCACTCAGGAGGGGAAGACAGGAAAGACCGACCTTTTGTGCTTTCTGTTGATCTCCCTCCTCTCAAACCAGCAGAGGCCACCACCCAAATCTGTGGCATGGTCCAGCACCTCCCCCACCATAATGGTTATATCTTAAATCAGAAGGCAAGCTACAATGGCTTCCCCGACATTAGCAGCCTGTGCTCGAACAGTAGTTTGGCCACAATTCCTCAACAAGACCGAGGAATAACTCCCACCTTTCCAGTGCTCCCACATATCCGATCGGGCCTGGGTCAGCCGTCCACAACAGCCAGCGCCCTGGTGCTGCAAATGGAGCACGAGCGGGAGCGAGGGAACCTGAGTCGTTGCCTGAAACTGGCTCAGGAGAGGGAGGAGCTGGAGAGGGAGCTCAAGAGGTACACGCTAGACAGAGGCTCGATGAGGGACATGAAGAGGGAGCAGTCAGACTGGGAGATAGGAGAGGCTGGTGATGATGAGTTTGTATGGGAGTATAAGAGCAGCACGTTGCCACACAGATACCCCCAGGGCAGCAGAAAGAGCTGCGGTTTATCCGTCAGTCCTTTATCTTCATCCTCTGTCCACTGGGAAGCCTGTCCACTTGTCTCTCCTCTCCTCGGCACATCTTCTCCTGTGATTCCCTCTTGTTTTAAGTCTGAAAACTACCAATTCCCTCCATCATTCACCGATCAGACTCCCCTCCAGTCTGCGGAGGCAGGCAGTTTTTCAAGAGCCACATTAACTCTCCCACATCTCCCTGCAAAGCACCAGAGACATGAAAGAGTAGAGGCAGCACCACAGGGCTATGATAATTCACCACAATCCACAGTCTTAGAAATGCAAACAAATGATTCACGCTCTAAGGCACAGAGACAGAACAGTCTCAGTCATGGCAGCCGTTCAATGTCTTCCTACCATAGCAATAAATATACAGAAAGCTCAGATTCAACTATCGATGCAGTGTCTGTAAAAGCAGGGGCCTTGTTCCACAGACCCGCAGGTGGTGATGTATGCGCCGAGATGAGCGTGGATGAGCCAGAGTTGGACGTATGTGTGATCCGGCCGACAAAGCCGATGCTGCACCACAGAATCGCCTCTCATGTGCAACACGGGCGTTCGCTGACTCACAGAGGCCAGTATGAAGACACGAGGAGGAGCACAAGCTTCAACTGCCATAGTCCTGCCTCTGTGGACCATAGCGTAACTTCTCCACAACCCCCAGGAACACAACTCTGGAGATCTGGGACCAAAGGCTCTAAAGTCTGGGACTCTAAGCAGCGAAGTCGAAGCCTGGACTCAAGAAGACGGAACGAGAGCAATTTCCCAACCCCTGATGTGTGGATAGATTCACTAAGCCAAGAGAACTGTTCTGTTGCATCTTCCTGTCATGCAGACACTCTATTCTGGGAACCACAGAGTTTTCCTACCAGGAAGTCTCCTGTAAATTCTCCTTCTGCTACCCAAGATGCCTCCTGTTCACCTCCTGCCGTCAACACTTTATCCGCGGGCAGAAGTCCAGAGAGCCTTATTCCAAATCCTGACACGCCTCGCCTTTATGAGCCAAGACCAGAGGACTCCATCCTTCCAAATGCTGCCAAATGGCCAATCACCTACCACCAGGAGGTCATGAATGATGCAGAAGTTTACTCAAATGCCACAAGGGAAGCATCCAGATTCTTACCCCCCAACAACAATGACCAAGAGGCACTGGATGTGGAGGCAGGAGGCTACGAGGGAGTGCTAGAGTCCGGGAGCAACTACAGCAGTTATGCCAGCAGCGGCCGAGGCAGCATGGAGCCGGCTAACGGACGCCTGTCTTTGTGCCACCTTTCCCCAACACTCACCAGCTCACCCGAGTATGTGGAGGAGAGCCAGGGCAACACAGAGGACAAGCACAGTCACCAAATGGAACCAGGCCAAAGGTATTAAGGACATAATGAATATGAGAAATTATGTTTCATAGAAGAAAATGTGGAGGCTTGCATTTGCGGAACGAGAGGATTTTGTGCGGTCGATATATATATAAGACTTTCAAGGTGAAGCTAATATACAATCTCCAATATAATATTAGAGAAGGAAATAAAGAAAAGTGCAGTATTAGATTTGAATTATCTTCCACATACTCAAAGTTAAATTTAGTAGATTTCCAAGATAAAGACACTTTTTACATATTTGCACTTAACTGTATTGAAATGCATGAGTTCCCTATTCAGTTTGGACATCACACCTTTATTTAAAGTCAAAAACAATAAAATAAGCATTTAAATGATTTAAAATCGCTCAACAAAAATGTAAACGTACAGTTTTTCATCTCTGCTGGGAATTGATGTTTTGTTTACTTGGAGTTCTTCGCCGTTCGCAGATGTTAATGAGTGAGCATGTGAACGCTGGGTTTACAGGTGGTATAATGTGATGTTCTGTGACCTCTCCAGGAGAAAGGCCTCTGTTGATGAGAATTATGAGTGGGATGCGGCTGATGTCTACCCACAGCCTGGAGACTGCGATGGTGAGAATGTCGCCTTTCTTATCGATATCTGCATTTCACATCGTGCTATAAACTGTGGGAAAAACAAAACATGAATGAATAAACATGCCTGTTTAGAATTGTATTCTAAGGTTAAATGATGCAGAGTGTAAACAGAATGATTCGTAGTTAAAGACTTTACTGTTCGTCCAGATAGTATCTTAAGTTCAGTTGACAAATCACATTTGACCTGCGGGAAAGCTGAGCTCTTTATTGGATGAGGACATGATGTAGGAATGAACTGATGAAGAGACACATCAGTATTAAACAGATGCAGATCTTGCTTTATTACGACTAAAAGCTAATTTGAGCAGTACCATTGGAAGTCAAGGGGGAACAGTGTAGCCAATAGTTCAAGCAAGACGACTACAAGAGACTGTGTGTGCACGGGAGGCTTGAACATAGCAAACGTGATGCTAAAACTAAAACTTAATAATGTGGACGCAGCCTTTGACCCTTCATGTGGGCACACAGAAGGGTGAGGAGGCATCCTCTCACTGCCTCAGGCAGCACAGCGAGATCCCAGTGCAAACCCCGAACACCAATTATAACCTGAAAAGAAAAATACAATTTTGACCAAAGTGTTGCTGACTGAAAGTGGGTAAATGTTAATTTGGTGAAATGCACAAAATAAAATAAAATCATTTTTTTCTTTCTCTCAAAAGACTTTAATGCAGGAGCTTGCAGAGGTGGTGCAGTATGCGTGGTACAGGGCAATGCCATTTCTGCAATTACTGTACTTCACTCTCTGTCTCCCCCTGAATGAACAAGTTAACCTGCTGAGCTGCATTTATGCTCTGAAGCCAATATTTAATATCCACACCTGAACCTGTGAGTGGTGCCTGTCTGTGAGAGAAGCTGCGGTGCTCAGACGTTTAATGAATTAACAACTGCAGTCAAATCGAAAAAGTCAAAGATAATTTTCACAAGTTTCTTTTTACCCACAGGCCTGCTTCTCTCAATGAATCTGCTGAAGCCTCCTCCGTGCTGTGGCCTTCCCAGCATGCCGTGCTCTGCTAAGGCTGTGAAAAAATGCACTCAGCTGTCTTTGCACCCAGGGCATCAAAGCAGCTGCTCTGCTGAGCCAGAACCAGACACTGTGCTGTTCTGACAGAGGCAGCCGTCGGCTCATCTCACTGGTGTGTCCTTTCACTCATTGACTCGCATCGCGAGGCGACAAAAACTGCATGTGGCAGAAAGTGAGCTTTTGTCTGATCGACTGAATTTCCTTCTTCAATCCAAGGGAGGAAAAAAGCGGAATGTTTTTTTTTAAGGGGTGTTCTGCTTCGTCTCTTTATCAAGCTTCACTTTTCAATCATCTTTAACACGTACGGGTCCCAGTCAAAGTGCCGGAGACACAAATGACCCTCGTGCAGAGCTTCAACTCTTCGGAGACAGTTTGTCAAACTGCCTCTATCAAAGCATTTGTGTGCTGATGGATTCACCCTGTTCTCCGGTGAAGTCTGATGTGCATTCATCATGCAGGGATGAATCTGTAGAAACACAAGGGACAAAACGGCCTCAGGCATCATCAAGTCGCTGATTTAAGCTGTGGATGATTTAGACGTCAGAGATGATTTATCACCTCGGAGTTGGACAAAGGAGGTGTTCATGAAATGCCAATAACTAAGGAAGACAAATATCATATATAAAAGGTTATTCTGCTGCACTGCCCTTCAAAATATTTGCATATTTGTCCTTATAAGACTTTAAATGTTTGGAGTCTGAACTTCCGGATGTTTTCTGTTCAGGCCGCCTCATTGCTCCTTGAAGCAAGACCTCTAATAGTTTCCATAATTGAAGAGGATCGAGTTAACTTGTTGTGTTTGTCCTTGTTTATTTTTTTCACTGACATGAAGGGAAATTAGTTTTTATTTTGTGTTTTGCCTTTAATTTACTAAGGGTCAGTTCACTGGATGATTGCTGCATTTTTCTCCCAGCAGCACCTGCTTTGTGCTCGCTCCGTCATAAGTGGTACCTGTTATGTGGGCTTAATGCCTCCCTTGTTGCCTGAGAGGTCATAAATCAATATTCTCGTTTGTGGTCTTAATAATGAAATGGTGAATAACAGCAGCGTGAGTGAGAGCTCAGTCACATCAGTATTTAATACAGAAAAAAACATTCAGACCAGAATCTCTTCATTTCAGTTGAATCCCTGTGATGGATTCAGCCTTGGAAGCTGAGTGTATTTGTGAGCTGTTTATCATGTTTTAATAATAAATGGGGGTTAATTTATGCACCAGTTTCCCTAATCCAAGTTGTAATTACGAGAGTTAAACTAGGATGGTATCTGACTGGGTGCTTATTAAAATGGAAGTGACTGAAGAGACAAATTCTTCATGTCAACTAAGCTGTTGTTGTATGTAATTAATCACAAATTTAACAATTTACTTTAATAGTCAGTGCATTGTACTTTCACAAAACAAAAACCTGTCGCAGTAAATCACCATATATAAATATATATATAAATATAAATATAAATATGTATCTATAGAAGCATTGGAGGTCAGGGCTTTCCTTTGCTTTGTTCCTTCACAATATACATCTAGTTGATACTTGAGGCTTCCAGGTAACAACTATATGACCTTTAAATGGAAATGAATTTTGCTGTGTAACTTTCTGGTGTGAGTGGGTACTCGTGTCTGAAGAGTTGTAGTTGTTGTTGTGAAGCGTTGGAGTGGAACACAGCTCACTGCATCCGTGTGTGTGTGCGTTAGTGACTTCAGAAAGTTTTCAAACCCCTTCACTTTTTCTCTCATGTCCTTGCATCGTAGATTTCATATAAAGAGATTGAACTGTCTGTATTTTTGAGTTTTACTTTCTGTCCTGACATGCAGAGTGAATTGTGGGACCTTATTTATATACACAAGTGTGTGCCTATAGGTCTGGTCCATGGCAGAGGGTGTGATGAGAGATGTATCCTTTGTAAACCTGCTTGTTTGGAATGCACTGTTAGCTTGGCCTTCGCTGGTTGCAGCTTTTATTCTGAAACTAATCGTAACTGAGCTGCTGCAGAACCCTGAAGCTGCACCACTGCTGCACAAAGAGCTGTTCACCATTTTAAGTTGAGTGAAGCTCACGTAAAACCCGAACTGGAGTTGTCGTAACCCGCACTGTTGATAAGTGTCAGCCACCGCTGCTTCAGAGTGCTGGTCGACTGTTTACTCAAAGTTTATCTATATTGAACGTATCGTACTGTGTCCAAATCGCACCAAATTCAATTCTGCACTTCCTTGTGCCCTTAACGATACACATGTCAAGTGTAACGCAGGTTAGATGAACTGTTCTCGAGATATGTTGGCCACATACAGACAGATATGGCAAATACATGTATATTGATGCTGCACAATAAAGTGTGCAAACGGTGGGGGTGTCTGAAAGCTTTCTGAATCTGCTGCCACGTGTTGTGCTGCACAGTGACATTGGAAAGTTTGACACAATGAAAACTTCTCTTTTGATCAACATTCATAAACCTTCCACCTCCGCCCTGAACCTTCTGAGAGAAACCTGCTCTCACCACCTGCTGCTCCCTTTTTCCTCCATTGTTCAGGAGGAAAAAGGGAAAAATGGGTTTTGCTTGCTTGCTCTTGCTCAAGGCCGTCACATTAGTCAACCAAATAATTAACTCAGAATTCCACAATGTACCAGAGCATTGTGGGGTATCCATCCTATAATTGAATTCACTCGTTGGGGCTACATTTACTGCAAATCAATGTTTCACTTCTGTAGAACATTTTCATTTTCTGGTGTACACACACTGTAGCTGGAGTCCACAAATGATCAAACCCCATGTGCAGCTCTAGGGATTTGGAGTCAGCACTACTTTTCCCCCCATGTTTTTTAAACCATATCTAAATATTGCGCTTCCAGTTCACAGAACGCAGGAAAGTGTGTGAAAATATTTTCTTTGTCTACAGGATATAATCCTTTTAAAAAAAATTATTCTCTGTATTCTGCAGTTTGGGCTGAAACCTTGTATAACTGAATCCTTTGGGGAGTTGCGGTATGTTGCATGTTGAAGGCTCCTGAGGATTCAATCATGAAATGTTCCTGCAGAAGGTGAAAAAAAAAAAAAAAAGCAGCATTGATGCTATAGAAGTGCGGACTAACAGGATCAGAAGAGCGCAGTGGAGTAAAACCTCACAAAGGAAATCTGTTCGCAAAGAGACATGGACACCGGCAAGAGCTCGTAAAGCTGATTGTTACACTCCTGCCTTTTTCAGTTATTGTGTATACTTATGTGGATTAGCTTTAAAGCAAGCGCACTTTTATTATGCCCATCAAGCAGCGAATTAATTATTCGCAATTGCCAGGAAGTGACTCTCAGAGTTATAAACTAATCAAAGTCTTACAAAAGGAATGTGAATGAGAAGTGTAACCATATCACGGCCATGTTGCCGTAGAGGTGGAGGTCTGAACTCGTCATTGTGAGAACAAATGTCAACAAACCTGCTCTAGTTGAAACCAATTGAACCGCTGGAAAGGAACAACTCATTCCAACCGCTAACATGGAGGAGGCAGGGTTTATGACCTGTACTGCAGTCGGCCAACCAGGGAGCGATCAAGAATATTTGGCTTCACTTTTAGGGAGCTTTAATTTGAGCCATCTTTCTTTACAGTGTCTGGTGCACTGCGGCTTTAGTTTTTTTTCTAGTTTTCATTAGAGAAATATGCAAAGTTATTGTATCTATAAAAGTTGGAAGTAAAGTACCTTTGCAACCCTGGCAACCAAAACAGATTTTCCCATGTGCTTTTATATCTGAACATGAAAAGAACATGAATGCTGCACAGAACACGCTGTATGACTTGTTGCTGCACCAGCTCACATAAATAATTTATGTAACTAATCAAACTGCACTGGCTGTTGTGTGTAGGCGCCCCGCTGATCCTGAAACAGAGCAGAGATCATAGACAGAAAATGTTGGCTTCTTAGCCTTCTAGCTTTTTTGTTTTTCTTGGATGTTCCCTTCTGCCAAACAAACGGTGCGGGCGAAAATCAACTTATCGTGGGCAGGCGGCGGTTGAGAAGTTAAGTGTGACTTCTTTTCCTGGCGGAATCCGAAACTAAAATGGTTGTGTGGTATTTTTAACATCTAAATCTGCTGTGAAGCCAAGTCAGCATCATACACTCTGTATGAGGCATGTGTGTTTATTCTGGTTGTACGAAGCTGATTGAGAAAAGAAGTTTTCAAGGCCTTTAAAATAAAAACAAGCTTGTTCTGTTTCAAAAACTCTGACGTGAATCGACACTTTCTTTAACTGAGCTTTAAGACCGTTAGATTTGAAATTGACTTCTTATTGACATTGTTTAAACTGAAAACAGTCAGTGTTAGTTTCACAGTTTCTCAGGCGAGCATCAGACGCTCTCCCCTCGCTCTGAAAGGATCCATTCGGCTCTATTGTCCTCTGTTGACACTCAGCTCAACTTCATTGATTGATTAAAACTTTTGTCTTACATCTGAACCGGCTTCCAATTATACTAATGGCCTCGGTACAGCCACAACAACAGCAACCCCTGAGAAAATGATCGGGGGTTATGTCACAGTCATCCTTTTCAATTCCGTTTGTTTAGACCGTTATATCACTTTGACATCACAGATGTCGGGGGTGGGGGGGGTAAACACGTATTTCTTGTCTGAGTTTTCAGGACGCTGTGAGCAAATGGCGAAAGCGGTATTGAATGTGTTGCCGGGTTGCAGGTACTTCAAAGCTCTATTTTCAAAGGCAAACACTTGTAGCAGTCAAACGACAAAGCAGCAGATGACATTGACGAGTAACTAATTTTTTTTGTTTGGTTCTCAGTCAGTATTCATTGGAATTCAAGCAGGATTTTTTTTCCGGGGCTAAATCTTTATCTTTATTTCACCCTGTGATTCCGTCTCTTAACGAGATGTGAGACAATGACAGCTCGAGAGCAGCTTTGGGTTTTTGATGCTACAGCTTCCAGACTTCTTATTTATTGTTCGAGCAAAGCAATCAGTCCATAATTGGCCTATTTCCATGGAGCCACGAGCGACGACAGATGATGTTCTGCAGCGTGAGCAGGGTTGTCACACGGGTTTGAAGACTGAGGCCTGTCCTCTTTCTTGTTTTCTTGCAATCTTTGCAACTCGTGCTGACTAAAAGAAAAATCAAAAATTTCCATTATCTCCACCCGTAAACACATTTCTGGGGATTTTCTGTTGGAGCTTTACGAGGTGACCAATAAACCGTGTTTCCTGTTTCTATTTCACAATAAAACCAAAGCCTTGATTTACCTGTCGAAGCTTTTAAAGGAGACATATGATGCTTTCTTTCTTACTCTCTTTCTGGTGTCTAGACGTAATGTGTGTTTTTATAACATACGAGCATGTGAACCTTTTCTTAAGTTATGATTAAACTTATTGTTATAAGTATAATATGTCTCCTTTAAATGGAAATACATGAGCAGAAGGTGAATGAGGTATTATTTCCATGTGAAGGCATTTTAAATCGCTAACAGAAAAACTACTGTATTGGCAGGTTGTTACAGGAAATAATAAAAATGCTGAACATAAATAGCATCAGACAATAAGGTGTAATCTCAAAGCAGCTATAATTGATCTTTTTATGACAACGTAAAAAGTGATGGTGTTGGTGCTGCAGTGATTTATCACGTGAACCTGCAGCTCCTCTCACTTTTATGGAGCTTCACAGTGAGTTTCAGCTCATTGTTCGGGCCTGAAGATTTACTGTTCTGCTTCATCCTTGCTGCAAAATCCTTTAA